GGGGTGGAGACAGATGTCTGCACAGCAACATTGGGGCTCCTGTGGATTACTGTTGATCAGAGCTGGCCCATGCATGAAGCAGGATGAGGCGCCCACATTAGGTGGCAGAGCAGTTAATTCCTTTACTGCCTGCCCCACTGCTAACATCACTGCAGCCACTTCCAGTGGGTGTTCTAGAAAGCCCTGTCAACTGTTCTCCTGCCTCGGCATTCGCTGCAGTGAAAGATTCTCTAGAACAGGTGGCTGCTATCTGTCTGCCAACCCTCGTGGCTGGTAGAAGAGGCTTAGGGACTCCAGCAAGAACTCAGCCAGAATCTCAGCTGAGCTCCTGTAAGACCTAGAAAATAACAACTTCTGGCAGTGTGGCTCTCCATAGAGCCAGTGCAGTGGGACAGGTAAGGGGGTGCAAGAAGATAGGGGTACAATGAAACAGCAATGGCAGTGGGGAGGGATGGAATGGGTGTAAAGCAGTGGCACAGGTGTTCTGCTTCAGGTGGCAACAGAAGCTGAGTTGGGCTGCTGAAGAAATCACCACTGATGCATTAGAAAACATATCTGTAATGTAAGTTTACTTGCCAGAGTACCAGAACTAGGATTAACTCTCTGCTGAACATGTTCCCAATGGTAAATCATAGTATATTGCCCTTGTAACATGTAAAACCACCTTCAGAAGGAAAGTAGAAAATCTTGCTTTGTAGACATTTTTGAATTAATTCTCTGGGTTAAGCTCTGTGCTTCTGTTGCTTGTAAACTGATGCTTGCCTTACTGTAAACTACCTTTGGGGATAGGAGGAACAGAAGTGGCTATCTGGAGAGAAGGGGATGTGTGAAAAATTCAGCATTTCAAGGTGGTTACTTCACAGTTTGAATCTGAATTGGAAGGAGAGGCAAGGTTAGAATTCTTAGCTGAAATACCAAGGCCAGTTTATCTTAAGATATGCCAAGTAGCTAATGAGAACCGGATTACCTCTGGTTCTGGGGAAAACACTTGTGAACAGGCAGGGCCAGACAGGGAAGGATGCATTGTAATCAAACCCATCATCCCATGTCAGTTCAAGAGAAACAACCAATTGAACAGTATCTAGCATTTCTATTTTCTGGCCCATAAACAGCAGGGATCTCTGTGAACCTAGAGCAATCTCTGGTTGGAGAGGGTAGAGGGGGATTCAGTTTAGAATCAACTTCTTGATAATCTCCATTATTAATGGTCTTCCTGACTTGACCAATGTCTTCTGATAATGTCCTCTGCAATACTCTTCTGTATCATACTGCCAGCACAGCTGCCCTGCTTTAACATAATAAAGACTGTAGTCAAAGAGCTATGTCTTGATCAGCTTCGAAGGAGAACAGGGAGCAGGTACATCCTTGCCTCTGGCAATGTGAAACTTTCCTTCTGTGGAACCTCCTTAAGTAAACTTAGTATCCAAGACTAAAGACACAATCCTATCTACGTTTAAACAGAAAAGGGGGTGCAACTCCCACCCCACTGTTGTTTCTTGCAGCTGGTCTTTAAAGGTGTGTTGATTCTGACTCCAGATGTTACATAAAGGCATCATGACCTGCTGCCTTCATCCAGCAACAGACCTCATTGTTTTACAAGCTATAAGAGAAAGCCTTTAAAACTAACAAAGCCCATGGATAGCATGTAACAGTGTTCAAAATGATAGCTCAGTCAAAGCAAACTCAAGCTATGATAGAACATAAACCTAACTCATAATGAGGACAAAAGGTAATCTTTTACTGGCTTGGTTACCAAAGCTTCATCTCTCCCTCCTTCAGGCACTAAAACACATCTTTTCAGTCCACTGAACCTGTGGCTGTCAAAGCTGTCTGCACTGTCCATCATTCACCGCTACACAGTTTGTGCCCTCTCTACTGCGCATGAAATTAAAATGTCCTTCAACAGCCTATGGTGATCAGCCCTGAAACTATCTCTAACTATTCCTATATTTTTCCTCTCCTGTCCACTTTGCCATGTCTCTGTTTCTATCACCCCCTTCTATCTACATTCTTCCAAACAACCATGGAGTTCAATTTATTTAGTTTAAAATATGTAAGTGCCGCTTCTCTAAAGCACATAGTATCTTGCAACAGTATTATAATGTAAGTATTAGGGGCACAGTATGCTTAAATCCTACAGCTTCCAAGAGATCCAAGCCAGCACCACTAAACTATAGAAGTTCCCTTCCAATCTAGGCCTTGTGCCACTACAGAGGCCCATATGTGTGATGCACAGAGACATGAAGAACATCCAGTTACTAAAAACCAGGGGTATGAATAAACCACTGATAAATTAAAGGTGCATTCCACAGAGTACACATTTGAAAACAAATAATGTGATGAATAGTCCCATACATAAGAAATTAGCTTATAATAGTTTCATAGTAATGGAACTTTGTTCTAACTCAACATTTCTTTACAAATTGGTTGAGGAATTAGATATGTTAAAATTCAATTTGAGTACCTAATGAATATTTAGGGCTGCTGTTTTTATGCCCTGATTGCCCCTCTGCAAACTCTTCACCTCATTAACTATTTAACATCATGATCGCCTTAAACAGCAATGTGATAAATTGTTGCTAGATATACCGAAATCTGATATTACATGTCTGGACTTTAATTACTCATTTGGTGGAAGAATAGGCAAAGGGAAGCTTCATTTACAGGCAATTGTGAAAAGCAGGATTGTACAGTCGAACGTCCACATTCATGGGGGTTAGCAGGACAGGACCAGAAAGTGGAAAACCTGCAAATCTCTCTACCCCTGCTCCAAACCTTAACTCTTAATACAGTTGACCATACATATACAGGACTGCTTCTCCCCTGCTCCCTCCTTCACTCTCCCTTTCTCCCTCTGTGTGTTAACTTACACTGTTGATACATACTCCTACCGGTTAATTGAAAAACACATTCAATTTTAAACCTACCACACACTTAAACCTACCACAAATGGTAATACCATCTTCAGAGGCTTCTCTTCAGATGGCACCATGGGTGTCATTACCCATAATGGTGTGAAGGTTACCGGGGAAAGAACATTCTCTGTGCTGGTCCCCATCTGTGGAATGCCCTTCCCAGGGAGATTTGCTTGGCATATGTATATGCTTTCGACACCAGGTTCAAACCTTCATCTTTCAGCAGACATTTAATTCCTAACCTGGTGCCCTGGAATAATAGGTGCTTGGGAACTATATTTTCAACAGCTCAGGTTCTATTGTGCATACTTATGATAGCATTCAGGTATAGCAGAATATTGCTGCTACTAACAATCCTGTAGAGCCGTATCTGTTGCTTCCTCTAACCTTGGCACATTTAGATAGGGAAGGGGGCATTATGGAGAAGATATTGGGCAAAATGGAGACATGCAGGATTATCTTGGATTCAGGCATGCTTCTGCAGAAAGCTTTATTACTTTTCCTCAAATTGGAGGAGGAGGAGACCAGTAGTGTAGTGGTGCCAGAGCTTGCAGGAATACAGGACTGGCACTTTTGATGAACCGGGATACTGAGTCATCTACCATCAAGCTGCCCTCAGAATCTCCTATTCCTTCTAATTCTCACAGTATCTGTTGGGATGGTGGGGTGGGGAAGCAAGAAATTTTAAAAACAATAATTCATTGTTCCTTGTGGTGATGCAAAGTGCTTGGGCTGGAATGAGCAATTAAGGCCCATTAGCCTTTTCAAGAATCTGCTCCTGGTGGAAATGAGAACTACTAAAACTGGCTTGTTGACAGGGATGAAAACAGCTGCCTGAATTTCTGGGCTCTTTTTGGCAGTGGAGACCGTCATGATGCATGCTCGCACTTGAATATTTGCCACTAAGGCCAAGGCTGGGAAGGGCAAGATTGATGGCTTAAACTGGCAATGAAACTGCTGGTATTGTTGGTCTGTCAGTTCAGCTGTCAAGATGGTCTGTAGAATACACGGTAATCCCTCATTTTCATATCATATATAGACCTTCTTTCTTATTTGCAGACCAGAGAACCAAATCTTTCCAAAATAAAGTCCTCAGCTTTGTGAAAATAATGGAAGACTGGATTTTTCTATGTACCTGATCAAACTTTCACCCAAAGAAGTCTGGATACCACTTGATGCCTCCTGACTCAGAAAAAGCAATGTGTGAACCAGTTATGACTATTACAGAGAAGCCAAACTATGTCTGCAGCAGAGATACTTGTGGTGGACTCCCTCCTTCCTCTTATACAGTTAATCAATAATCTGGCCAGCCAAAAGTGTTTTATGCTGTGCCCTGAAGCTGGTCGGCAACTCCAGTGAGCTCTCGTAGCAACAAATTTCTCAAGCACATGGAGTCCACTGATAATTCCTTGCTACCAGTCACAGAAATAAATAAAAAATGACAGCATGGAACTCCTCTATATGTATCTCCATGGTAAGGCAGAAAAAATACTACATTCTTAATATTTATTAAATACTTCAATAAAACTAGTTGTCTCAGCACGGTATGAGAATCCCTGAAAATCCTGGGCAAGGAAAAGCAACCACTAAGCACTTAACAAAATGGCACAATAAAATATAATGCAAAATGCAAAATCAAAACAAAGGCTGTAAGTCTTTTAAGTGGGAAAAAACCGAGCAACATCCAATACTGTGGTATGGCAGATGGCAATTCAGTGGGAGAGGGGCAGGAGGATCCAAGCTAGAGGAACTGTCAAATCCAAAGCCCTGGATTTTCCTCCACACACCCTTTTGATTGGCTATTTGTTTGTTTGTTTTTAGATTTCCCCTCAAGGGTACACAGTCTATGTTGCACAAACTCTCTGAGGCTCAAATGCCACAGTGTACACAGGTTGCCCTCTTCCATTTTCATTTTCTCATGAGGATGTGCATGGCAGCAAATGTGGCTAGAAAAAAGAACCCTAGATCACTGGTTAATCTGAGATTAGCAGAAAGAGCCTTTCATTGCCCCTCTGTCCCATGCTTACGATTTTAGAAAGATGAGGAGAGGGGACAAGTATTAAAAAGAGAAAAAAAGACACATACCCACAACTTTCAGAATCAGCCTCTTGGTCAGAACCTCTGCATCTATCAGGATCTGGAAGGGTGCTTGGATCAAATTCATCCTCACTTTCACTGTGATCCAGAAAAGCTACATTTTCCTCCTGTGTAAAGAAATTGTACAGAGTTAAACATTTCTGTATTTCATGTTCCCAAAACTCTCAAGGTGTACAATCCCTTGCTGTCAGTCATATACATATAGTATTATTTACACACACACACACACACACACACACACACACACACACACACAGAGAGAGGGAGGGAGGGAGGGGGGGAGGGAGGGAGGGAGGGAGGGAGTGCGAGCGCAAATAGCAGGCACTAGGAAAGATGCTCGACCATTACTGGGGACACAGCAAAGTGGGACAGGGGCTTAATCCTTTCATCTCCTACTGCAATCTGATAAGAATAGCTTTTCTGAAGCTGCTATCTCTATCTGGAAGAGCCTCTGCCAGCACCACCATTAGAAGAGTACTCTACTGAGAGAACAACCTTTGGATAAGGCAATGATCATCTCTACATCAGGACACCTTATTTGAAAGCAGGTTTCAATGCAATTTAGGTATGATGGCTGTACCCTTATAAATGCTCACTTACACAGCAAGCAGACAGGTAATTACTCTACTATACACAAGTCTAAAAGCAAAAGTGAATTATTGAACTGGGACTGGAGAATAGTACCCAATATTTATTGAGTGCTTCTTTATATTGTATGGTGCTTTTGGCAGTGAAGCCTCTGGTTCACTAATGTTGCATTGCTTGAGGAATAAATACAGGCACTAAAGGAAACAGGCACTATGAGAAGCAGCTGATGACCAGAATGCTGGAAAGGGTTCCCAAAAGCAAGGAACTGAAAGGTGAAGGAAGCCCTTGGCATGGTAAAATTCCTGATATGCCAGAAAGCCATTGCCAAATCCAGCAGGTGATATTGGGCAAGATGGACAGGGGTATGCAGCTTCGTATGTTCCTAAGACTGGGGCAGCCAGAGGGAGAAAGGAGGTTTAGCCCACTCCATGAATATACTTGTTTACACCCTTTTAATTTTTTCTTACTATTCTTTCCATTATTAAGAATTAAAGTGCTGCTTGGCCCTGCTGACTGAAATCCTTCGTGCTGCATGTGGTTCTCTGTGCAGAATCAGTAAAGCCATAATGTGTCCTCCCAGAGCGCTTTAAAATAAACTAGACTTCACTCTGAATTCACCCCACTGATTGTAATGATGGGCATTTTGCTGGTATATTCTAATTTTTAAAAGAAGGGTGTTCCTCTACTTTTTTTCTTTAACTATTTCAAGAGAAAGTTTTTTTTTTTCACACGACTTATATCTTTCCAATGGCCTTCACCTCTGATATATTTTACAAAGCTTAATGAACTTTATTTTCTTTCTGCCCTCCTTGAATGGTTGTTGCTTTTTTCCATTTCATTTTTTAAGCATGCATTGCATTTGGATGCAAGGACACTACTTCAGCAATATAGTAATTGTATGTGTTTCCTAGTGAAGCCTATCTTATTGACCTTTTGAGTCAGGGAGTCTGCAAGATGACAAAGAGGAAAATATGCCTTGGATGCCTCTGTGGGAGACCCTTATTGCTTTCCAATGCAACTCCATGGTAGTATTTAAAAGGTCACAGGGAAATAACAATAAAGGGAGGAATCAGGCTTGTTATATACAGGTATCAAAGTCTGTTTTGAGACTGGAACATTTTCTCATAATATATAACAAATAAATGTAAGCCATGGCTCTTAGTTATCACTAATAGCAGAGCTGGATTCATTTCTACTGCCAACTACTAATAACTATATATTAGTACAGAGTGTACTGTTGTAAACCATCCAGAGAGCTTCCACTATGGGGTAATATAAAAATGAAAGAAACAAACAAATGAAAGACAACCATATGAAATATTACTTAACAATAAGAACACTACAACAAACTCCCAGTCCTATGGCTTCCTAACACTGCCTGAGAAGCCACAGGATGCATCGAAGTTGGAGCACTGAGGTCCTCCGAACTCAGTGCTCAGTTTCCCAAGTCTTCTTGTAGCCAGTTCAGAAAACAAAGGGTGCTTTCCCCCACCCCACCAGGGTTGTAATGGGGCCTGGAGGGGGATGTGCTGGATGGGTTGGAAGGGGAGGAAGCTGGTGCTGTAGATTTATGCCAATTTCAATCAGCATCCCAGCCTCTTTCCCTGCCCTTTCCTGGAATGAATGTTGGAGATTGTCACCACTCTGCTTCATTCTGAATGCAGAATACACTTAAGCTTCTGAGTTTGGAAGCTTATCTGCATCTACCCCCTAAACTTTTAAAGCAAACTTCTAATTCATAACTTAAACATAAAATCAATTAATAAATTGAGACTTAATGAATATACTGAACAATAAAACTCAATCCTTTTTTAAAAATATAGACTCCAGAAACTAAACAATGTGGAGGCATCATTAAAAGAGGAAAATCATCCCTGGATCCAGCAGGAAAACCCTGGCTCAACCAATTAATAAAATAATTGTTCAAAATGTGGCTAACAGCAAATCAGAGTGTAATGCTTTTTACAAAATCCTATAAACGGCAACTGAGAAATAAGTCCTACTGAATTCAATGGGTCTGCCAGATGGTATTCTAAGATTTCATCCATACAGGGCAATCCTATACCTGCCAAGCAACATCTAAATGGTGGTAGGACTCCCCAGAAAATTGCTACCACCTCTTAGCTTGGAATTGGAATGAGGATCCCTCTCATGCCTCTCACAGCTGGTGTGGAAAGAAGCATGAGAAATGTTTCAGAGAATGCTTTCAGGGACATTACTGGGTTGGGGGAGAGGAGGTGACTGGCAGCACCAAGATGCCATGTCTCAGCACCACCTAAGACTTCTTCTCTTCTCCTATGAAGGACCCCACATAGAGAGCCAAAATCAGCTGTCTAAGCATTTCCAGGGAGTGAGGAGGGCAGGTGGAACCTTCTTCTCCACAGTCCTGATTTTCAGAGGATGCCTATAATTCTCTGAGTTTGGAAAGCTCATTGGACCATGTCCTTATTCTGGCTTTCAGCATGCCATCACTTTATTTTCTTTCTCAACCATTTGTCTACATCTCTGAAGTCATCTATAGCTGTTGCCGTTAATTGTTGATATTAGGTCAAGGGGTGCTCCTAAATTCATAAGCACATAAAATCTAAAATATTAATATATACACCTTAAATGCATTTAAAGAAATAGATTGCTGATCTGTCATTATTATTTTCTCTCACCCTTCTCCAAGGTTAGGGTAAGAGATAGTGTACAGGTCCAAGATCACCCAGTGAGCTAGCTTCATGGCTGAGTGCAGATTATTACCGAGTAAACTACAAAGCGAATAAGTCATAATAGATTGAATTGCAGAAGCCGCACAGAGGCAGCATTTGCACCCAAAAGAGAATACATTCTGAGGATGATTTTATCCTCTTCTATTGGATTTTTCTTTTTAAAGTCAAATGTGTACTTTTCATTTCTATTTGACTCCTGACGAGGGTTCAGGATCGACTTTTAAATACCTACTTTTAATATTCCCTAGAGACTTAATGTGTATCTGCACCACTACCGCTGTTCATCCTGAATGTCAACTGTAATAAAATTTAGCAACAAGTAACTGCTTTTGCAAGCAACCATTTTTCACAATCTTTGATTCTTTCTCCATATTCCTTCTATATTCTTCTCCATTGTTGAAATTTAAATTGAAAGGACAATAGGGCTGCAGCTTATATCTTTTATGCAAAGCATCATCTACAATGCTGATGATATTTTAAGAATAAATTTAACAAAATTAAATACCATAACTGTTAAATCATCATTAAATACCTCACAGAAAAAGTAGTGGTTGGCTATTAATAATAATGACAACAATATATATTTATAATATACTAGTACTAACAGACAGAAGTACTAATACACTATACGATCATTGCACAGTAAGTGCATCTCTCCAATGGTTTTTCAAGCACTACCCCTAAGTAAGCTTTAGTTGCACTCAACAGTGTTATCATATTCACTATATGAGAGGCCTCTAACCTGCGGCTCCAAAGCTCTTTCTGTGCTGCCCTCCAACCTGATTGTTTACTGCTTTCACCCTCAAGGCATTTTCTCTCAACCCCACACTGTTCTTCCAGCCTCATGAGATACCATCTACTGCTGTTTTTCCTGTCCCTTTCTTACAAAAACACAATAGCAACATTGTTCCTTCTGCCAGCCCCCTCTTGGTCTTATCCTCCATACTAGCATTTTGGCCATCCCAGGTGCTTTGTTAGCCAGAAGAGCTCAAGTACCTGTACCACTTCGCTTTTTCACTTCCCTTCTCCAAGGATTAGCATGTTGAAGGCTACATATATGTAAGGAAGATAAAATAGCTGTGTGGAGATGTCTGGCCTGTTTTTGCAAGAAAAAAAGGTGAGAAACTGAGAGTAAAAGGTCTGGTATTTTTGCAAAAGGGATAAAAGGTGTTTTTCTCAAGGAGAAAGGAAAAAGGTTAGGGATTTCTTAATGATATCACAGAGCGTCTGAACACAGTGAATCTAAGATTGCAGGGAAAAGGAAAGCTTGTGTGAGAGACATGTATTTTGAATTGAAAACGTTTGAAGCAAAACTAAACATTTTTGTGAAGCAAGTTAGTGAAAGTAACTTTTCAAACTTCTAATCTGCAGTGAACTAAAATTTGAGAAGGATGGGAATTTACCATTCAATGTTGAAAAACGCATCAAAGCACTGAACCTACTGCAGGTGGAATACCAGAACAGATTCACTGATTGCCGTAAGCACAGAAAGGAAATAAGAATGATTCAAATTCATTTTGAAGTTGCACCGGAAGTTGCAAGCAAATTTTTTCAGTTGGAAAAAAGTTTCATTTCAGAGATATTTACAGATAAAATAGTCTCTTAGATTTCTATTGAGGTCTACCTGATGTATTTATCAACCTAATGAAATTTGCTACAGGCTTGTTTACAGTCTTTGGAACCACATAAATCTGTGAATGAACTTTTTTTCCAAGATGAAAATTGTGAAATCCAAGTGTAGGTCAAGATTTACATATACATGTTATTTTGTGGGTGTCTGTCACTTGGACTTGGACATTAATGCT